ACATGATGGCAACATCTCATGACAATGCATGGGTCTCATTCATTAAACCTAAGTGTTGTAACCGAACCGACAATGTCCGCGCGACATATTTATTTCTAGCAAGTGTGAATTGCACCATGCGGGCCCGTGTATGAGGTGTACTGCGCCAGTTAAAGCAACTGTACCGTACTGAAAACGTGGGACTTACTTCGGTGTTCGGTCTCCGGGGCTTGGCGTATTCCTTTGGCATTGTTGTTAGCATATTCTCTTGGTAGAGCATGTCTTTGAATGTCAGTTTGGTACGGTTTGGATGTTCCGGCACGGCATATATACGCTGATAGACGTATATGTGCCGTACCTGGCTTTGCTTCAGTCTTCAATTTCCGGGGTTAGGTCCGTTTCCTTAGGATTGCTATTGGCATATTATCACTGTAGAGGATGTCTTTGGATGTCGGAGCGGCTTTAAGGTCTCGCCAATTGGAATTATACAAGAGGTGCACTGCTTGGAGAGGGTGTTACTGCAGTCCGCCTGCACATGATGGCAACATCTCACGGCAATGCATGAGTCTTATTCATCGGACCGAAGTCTTGCAGTTCCACCGACATTGTCAGCACGATGTGTTAAGCTCTAATAAGTGTGAATTGCATTATCCGGACTCGTGTGTGAGGTGCACTACGCTAATAGACGTATATGTACCGTACCGAAAACGCTGGCCTTGCTTCAGTCTTATTTTCCCGGGCTTGGTCGTTTCCTTTGGATTGCTGTTGGCATATTATCTCGGCAGAGTACGTCTCTGGATGTCAGGGCGATTTCAGGCCTCGCTCGTTGGAATTGTACAAGAGGTGCACTACTTTAAGAGGGTACTACGACAGCCCCTCCGCACGACATGATGGCAGGATCTCACGGCAACGGAGTAGCCATATTAATTGAACCCAAGTGTTGTAGCTTAAGCGACATTGTCGTCACGATGTGTTTGGTTTCAATAAGTGTGAATTTGTTGGCTCAGCGCACCAACAGATAATTCGAGACACGAATGTGCAGAACTGGGATACTATTCTTGGTTTCTCGTATGTCCGTGATTTGTTCCTTAGGTTGTCCTTTAAGTACGTGTTATAAATCGTCTGCTGTCTGCGACTTAAAATCACGTTACTGGTTTGTTGCCGAAATTATAATAGTGTCAGATGGTAATTTCTTGAAGATGATAGGCGCTCAGGCGGGCATTGTGAGTAGCAATGGTCAAAACGACCAAGTAAATAATGGTAATTGCCTGCTCGTTATTTTTGGTGCTAAAGATGTTGTTTGGGTTATATGATTTCCAAGTTGGCCAATTCTGCTAACGTGAGCTGTCTGTGCCCGTTTCGTACTGCGCATAAAACGCTCGCGGTGGAGATTTTTCTTCTTCTAAAAAAGGTGAAGTACTTGAAGAATACTCGGAATTTTAACTATCTTTGATGAATTTGTTTTGGACACAAATAAATTTGTCTTATTTCTAAATTAGTCATTGCATTGGCCGAGGTCCGTCTGGCTTAAAACTCTACAAATCACAGCCCAATACTTTGTGTTGTTCTGGGCAGATTTGGCAAATTTTGCAAAAGTATTTCGTAATGCGATACATAACCTTTTACCGGCTTCGTTCAAGTCTTGAACATTTTTTTGCTTTTATGACTAGTAGCGGGACGGTTTTTAGGGAGTATATTTTGCCAGTGGTTTGCCGGATTGGCATGACCCAACTTTAGAACTTTTCCCTGGATTTGTTTGGTCCGTGTTTCCAGCATGATTGTCAAAAGAATACCTTTGTAGTGTTTTACTTATCAAAACAATAACTTTTAGTAGCTGAATAGAATGTTTTGAATACACAATGAGCTTATAGGTGAATAATCGCAGCAAAAAACAATTTTTTTTCTGAAATTAGATAACTTGACCCAGCCTACGATCTGTAAAACAAGAAAAAACAAGCAAATACAAGGAGGTTGTTAAGTATGGAGCCAAGGAGAACACGGCCCCTCGAGAGGTTTGCGTTAGGTGCCAGGCAATTTCGCAGGAAACTGGTCCAAACTCGCAGGATTTCGGAGGAAATTTGGCACTTCATCCCGTGAGGAGAATGCTGGCTTCGTGTCTGAGGAAATGGTACTGGAAACTTCCCGGGCACGTGTCGAATGAAATGATCACTTTATTTTGGAAAATCTTTAAACAACTGCTCCTTAACGCGCGCCCGGGTGGCCGGTTGACCACTCTGCACTTGTGTGCATGGGTCAATTTGACTCCCCTGAGATCTCAGAAACTAGGAGAGCTATAGATGTCAAATCCACAGGGTGTGTTGACCTGTATACAGACTGATTTGCTTCGAAATTTTGAGATTCTTGGGTCATCACCTTCGGGTCAAATGCGGTCACACAAGGTCAATCTCCAGGTTGGCGTCCGGTGTCCCCAGAACCTAGATGCCTGTTTGAAGCAAGAAGCCTCTAATGCTTAATTAAGATCAGTGACCCTGTTTAATCTTTCGAAGGTCGTAGTGACCAAAACCATACACTTTGACTGCTTTGAATTATGCATTTGAATAAGCGTCAAGGAATGCACCGGGCAGTATGTTCTTGAAACCAAAACGCCAACCTGGGCTATTTTAGGTCAGCGAGCTATTCTTACCTTTGAGAAGTCGATGAAAAGTGTATAACGTGTTTCCCGGTACTAATAAATTCGAAATGAACACCAGAAACTACCCCATGCGACATGCCCCGGAGTAATGAAATATGTTGGTTTTGACCTGAGTTTGACCTTCATAACTGACACTAGGTCAATTAAATTTATTTATTCATCTGTTATGTTGCATGAGAAACTATTTCAAAGGTATACGGCTTCGCCTAACACCCCGTTGTTGCCTCAGATTGAACGATTCTCCAGTAATTGTCTTCGCTGAATCCATGTCATGATTTTACCTGCCGGCCGTCTGTGACCTTACAAGACATATGTAGATTTTTGACATCAAGCAATCCGCTATTCAGTTGTCGGCAGCTATGCAAAATTTGGTGTGGCTATGTCGCACCATTCGAAAGACATTCCGGAAAACCCTTCGGGCGGTCAAGTTGGCCCCCACCCGAGCGCGCGTTAAAGAAAATGTTTCACATTTGTACGGGGTTTCGAACTGAAATAGCCTTCAGGAAAACCATCCGCTGCTGTTGGCAAGCCTGCCCTTCTTAAGACCTAAGCCCCCCTAGTCCCTGAGCTACACGCCCGCGAAAATGGGGGAGATTATTCGGGGAGAGCATTTCAAAGGCACCTTGGCATACATGACGTCATAATAACGTCATTTAAATCCTACTTTTCCATAAGCCATACGGCGATCAGGGCCAAGAAAAGTGTCAGTGCCGAGGCTTTCATATTTGACGTTCGTTAGCGTAATTTCCAGATAAAACTGGCATAAATTAGACCTCAACTAATGTTGTGCAAACTTACGATGACGTAATCAAACCATGACGCGTTGAGTAGCATATTTACTAAACATATTGTGCTGCCTAGAGGAGTTTTTCCGCTTACAAATTATACCAATGGTTATAAGTGGCCTTGTTCCATCATATTTGATGCTTGCTGCAATATCTTCAGACGTGAAACATTCCCAACTGTTATCCATGTGACACATACGCACCCCCCCCCCCCCCCCCATCCCGTTCGTTCCCCGTAACGTGGGACGCAACGCACGGAAATCCATCTGTGAAATCGTTTAAGTCCTGCGCCTTCGCGTGGCCTTGCCCGCCGGTTCAGCCCGATAGCGCTGGACATCTTGATTTGCTTAATAGTGACGCAGAAGCGGATCAACGCAGCACCAGTGAGTCCCGAGCATCGCTTTAGACTGGGTCGAGTGGATTCAGCGCACGCCGTTATCGCTTTTGCCAGTATAAGTGCGGCTAAAATTACAAAAATAATCTCAAACACGAAAAGATTGTTCCATCAAAACACGTCTGGCTGTGGGCCGTACCATAAACCGCAGTGGTGTAGGCCTTGTAGGAGTATGTGAGCCCTGTGATCTGCAAGCAGCGTTTCGTTGGGATCCTTTTATCACCACCGTTGTAAATGGTCAAATCTACCCTCTGTTTATAGTTTTCGATAAGCATACAAAAAAAATCGAAATCAAGCGGCCACGCTACAGCGCAATTCCCGGGTAAAAATATATGAAACTACACCGTGTTACCTTTTTCCACTGAAAGTACCACATTTATACACTGCTATGGCAAACTGGCCTGCATCATAGTATGCAATGTGCTGAAAATAAGCTGCTGTGCTGTGAGCTACTAAGATATTTTTGCCCGCTTTAAACGGGGGCCGTGCCTCGAAATTGGAAGGAGAGAGGGAAGTAGTCATTTTGACTATTCATTTCTTGTCAACGCCCAGACGATGAATTTTAAGTTTTCAGAAAGCTACATGGGCCTCAACTCTTGCCACATTCCTCGGTTTCCGCGCCCTTATGCTTTATGGTGGTGCAGTGCAAGGAACATAACAAATTGCATAAAACGATCTTTTCAGAAACCAGCAGCTATCAAACGCCCCCTGTGAAAATTAGTGGTGGGGCCCTCGGTTTTGATGACACATTTGACACAATGACACATTTCGATGACAGCTTTGGTGTTTATTCCTCTAATACAGAGGCATCAACAACCATTTACCTTTCATGCGCGAATGCAGCCTCTCATGTGTGAATGCGTAACATTCTGGGCGCCTTGGACCGGTGCGTGTTTCTTAGTGCCCGTGTCTTGCACGATATGACCATCGTCTGTGCGTATAAGCCCAAAGGATTCATCAAGAGCTAACCCTTATTAACGCCTTCTCCCTCATGAATCTAGGCTACCAGATGTACTTCAACTCCCAGAGCTCCACATTTCCGCTCAGTGGGGCGCAACCGTTCCACCCGCGTGTCAGACCCTGCCGGGCTTCACGCCTTCCTCCCTTACCCAAGGAGGGTGGAGAAACGTCGCCCGTCTGCGCGCGTCAGCTCCCGCGGTAACCTCCAGTCTGCCCATGACCGCCGCCGCTACGTCTTGCGTCGCCTGCTGCCACCCGACTTCTGCTTGGCCTGCAACAGGAGCTGCGCTTGACGCTTGATGACCTCACGGGATGGTACGGAGGCGTCATCCCCCGTCGTGTCGCCCTCGTCAAAGCCGACGGAGCAGGTCAGCTCGTCGGCGCCCGGGCTGCTCGCGAGCGAGGCGCGTACCCGCCGCTGTCGCTTCTCGGCTGGCGTCATCACGAATTGGACGGCGGCGGCAGCGCGCTGCGCCCGGCCCGTTTCGTCTCCTAGGCCCGCCATCAGGTCGGCTACACCGCGGCCGGCAGCCTCTAGCAGCGCGGTCAGGTACCGCTCCGTGACGTTAGCATCGGGCAGCTCTGGCGGCGTGATGACGCCGTCACTGATGAACGCCTCCACCAGGTACTCCAGCAGCTGACGAAGTCGGGCTAGCGCTTGCGTGACGCGGTTATTGGCCGCTACCTGGCTCCACCTGTGCTCTGAAGCGGCGGCCAGTGCGGCTTTGCAGTCGCCGGACGCGGTTCGCAGCATATCATCATTCTCAGTCCTTACCTTGTAGACCGAGGCGGCGCTCACGTTACCGAGCATTCGCAGCTTGTTCAGCAGAGCCACCTTTTTGGCCTCCAGTTCATTCGCGAATGCCTTGAGGTGCTCTTCGGTGGCTCCTTGTGTTTCAAATATTTTTACTACGTCTTCAACGCGAACAGTTCCAGTAACCTTTTCCAAAACCGTGAAGTCCCTTTCGTAGCATGCGAGGGTTTCCTCTGCATCGTCCGCCTCATCCATCCCTCCCACCGAATGACGATACATGTTACGAGAGAGAGTCATGTCGTGCTGTGCAAAAAACAACTGCATCATTTTCCACATAACGGCAAACTCTTGCTTCTGCCCATCACTTTGCCTCTTCAAATCAGTAACCTGGTGTTCCCGGTCCTTTCTGAGGTTGTGAAGGTCAACTTCAGTTTTTACAGCCGTTACATTTGCTGCTTCCCTTCTGCCAAGTGCATCTGCGGCAGAGCGTTGGCACATTTCCAGCTCTTCTTCATGACGTTGCAGCAGCCTGACAAGTGTCTGCATTGAGGTTTCGTTTGCAAGACCTTCCAAAGCCAGTTGATCCCGTATGTGTTTGTACGTATGCTGTACAATTTCTGCTTCCAAACGTTTCTTTTCTCTCTCGCTAATGTGATTTTCAAGGTTCAAACATCGTGAATCACCCATTGGGCCCTCAAGTTCAAGAAAACAAACATCGTCAACCGTTTCGTTAAATACATGAAGCATATTCTTAATGTGCTGACTTTTCTTTCTCCGAACGTGTTGAAGATGGTTGAGCTTTTTCTGCAAGTCCCTAACCTTATCGTTAACACTTTCATTCACATCTCTCGGTTCCTTTTCCAGAAATATCCTGCCGCCCGTGTGGTGATCGCGGAGCGCTTGTCGCATGAGACATTCGTTAGCGCCTGGATGCCGAGAAGCAACGCGCAGATCGTAGATTTCGGTTCGCAGCTTCTTAATCATTTCATTGTTCTTCTCGATCTGATCCTGACAATCTTCTGAGTAGGTTGTCGTTTGACCAATGTGTAATTGGACACGTTTCTTGAGATGGTTTAAGGTGTCGTGGTTTGATGCATTCAGACTTTGCTCAAATTTGTTTCTCATAATGCACGACCTCGTGGTCCTGCCCTGTTTCATCGCGCAAACATTAACACTGGTGTGCCCTTAGTATCGGCAGTATTTTTGCCCCATCCGTGCTGTTGTTTTGTTACTTCATCTTAGTTAAATTCGGTTCTTTCCCTCCACTCACATATGTTAAGTTCTTAAGTTCGTCTATTTCCCACCCAACTCACTTCCCAATAAACTCCCCGATTGGATACCAAGCAATCCCAATTCTCCCAGACAATTTAAGCCGTTGAATAAATCAGTTTGATGAACGGTCACGCACGTGACGTTCATACAGTCGGGACATTCCAAGGCACAACAGTTGAACAAAATTAAGTTACATTGTGATGTTTTTTGTGATAAAAACAACTAAACAACGCTGTGATAATTTTGAGAAGCCGACAAATGTGATTATGAATTAGTCTTAGACCCTACAGACAGTTGCGTAACATCAAAGCTCCCCGAAATAATGGTCATCGAGTGATAGCCTCCGGCATTTTTGTGAGGCCGCGTTGCAGGCCCATCGTTGGTGATCCTTAACTTGTAGTCAGATGACCCGAATTGATGAACCTTACTCAGCATAATGTGAGAAAACTTCCCACGTTTTTTTCAAGTCTCTATTCTTTACATATTTTGAACTCACAAGCACATGGCCTTTTATTGCATGGCAAACCTGAACATATGGATCAGTGGAAGCTGATTTTAAGCTCAAGTCATATTAAGTTTCAGGTAAGTGACGGCATAAATGACGACAAACAAAGTTTTAAAAGATTATTTTTCTGTATCATTGACCCTGTTTACCAGCGATGAAAAACTATTGATTTGCAGGATACTACCGTTGATAAAAATGAGCCCTTTTGCGAGATATTTGGTGACAAAAAAGTAAAATGGAAACAAATTACTGCAGATCATTCCAGTGAAACGAAACTCAAGGCGTTGCGGTGATAGCTTGTGGAGAGCACACGTCGAAGCATTGGTGTTTTGCTGTATGAACAAGTTGAGCCATAAAATGCTTCCAAACATAGAAGCTTTAATCAGAATAGGTTTGGTGCGTGATTTGAACATACTATAAACTGTACTGCATCGGTATCGACATTACAGATCAGTGGTAACAATGTGTTTCCAATGCCCTTTAGATCAAAGCTTTTCACATATTTGTTCAGGTCAAGTGCATTTCACATACCAAGCGGTAGAGAGTACCAAATAACTAGGCTTATTACTGGTCGTAAGAAACATGACTGGTCTCAGCGCCTTGCGACAAACGCGATCTGTTTCACGGCGCTTTAAATCGCCGTGTTATTGGAGACCGATGGCTACGATTGCTCGCCACGCGTCTGTGATTTGGGTAAATGCAAGGCAGGAGGCTGCCTTGGTCGCGTTCACGTCGTGAGATAGTCAGCAGCTTGAAGGACATATCTAACCGCCAGTTCCTTTTGAAGGCAGTGTTCCACATTCGAAGATATTGAAATAAGCGACGGATATGATGAAATAAGCTCACTATAACTGTTGCTTTGGTTTTAAGTGTAAAGGACAGCTGTATACAACGCAGTTTCTTAGTATTTAACAAAAGACTACTCAATACGTTATTGTTTTATTGCATCATGAAATGTTTGCATGACGTTTAGGCGCTGCCAAATAAGCTGCATGGAATTTTTACCCTTGCACTCACTTTTAGTACTTCAACTCCCGATCTACGGCCCTGGAGCTATGACAGTGCTGGGGATATTCGCCGAACCACATATCGTTAAGTGCTCATGTTGTGGCCGTTTGCTTGCTTTGCTTGCTTTGCTTGCTTTGCTTGCTTTGCTTGCTTTGCTTGCTTTGCTTGCTTTGCTTGCTTTGCTTGCTTTGCTTGCTTTGCTTGCTTTGCTTGTTTTGCTTGCTTTGCTTGCTTAGCTTGCTTTGCTTGCCTATTTAACCGTGAGTTTAAGGTCTTATATCGCATTCACATTCTCGGAATGCTTTTCCTGAGTAATTCCAATACGAGTCTCATTCCCGTAATAACTAACAAGTACGTCCAGCTTCTTGTATTATGTAGCGCAAAACGTGATTCGTGTTTGTATCTTACACAGCGTGCACAATTCCAATTGAGAGCCAATTGACGACCATTATATCTGGACATCGTGCTTAAGAACACCAGACATGGACGACTCGATGTTTGTATACTTTTGGCCTTGAACGCTGCATGGTCAAAGGGAAGCAGGATTTGGATGGCGTTTTCATGGCGCCATGCATGCCTGAATGGCGTTGAAATAGTCTGCACGAAATAGTATGTCCATCTTTGCGGGCATGCAGCTAAAAAACTAGAGGTTATTAGGCCTTCAGAAAGGCAGCTCAGAAAGAAGAGGGTTTTATGCCCTCAGAAAGGCAGCTCAGAAAGAAGAGGGTTTTATGCCCTCAGAAAGGCAGCTCAGAAAGAAGAGGGTTTTATGCCCTCATCAAGGCAGTACCGTGAGCGCACATGGTGATCTTAAAGATGGCAAGATCAGTTAAAAATTATATGCAAATGTGCAGCGTTTTCATTAAATAATTAATTCAATTGTGCAAGGCGCATACTTGCTCGGGGTTCCGCTAGCCGTGCTCCTAAATTACGGGTCATGGGCTTTATTTGTTGCTACCTGGGTAGTCTATAAAATATAAAACCAAGCAGTTTCCTAGATAAGCAGAGTCCCGAATTATATTGTGGTGTCATGTAATAAAATATCCGTCAAACCTGACAGGAGAGGCTTAAGCCCCATGAGCGCCCCTCCCTCCTGCCTGCGCCATAACTCACAAGGACACATCCTCCAACGATGCAATCGTGGAAGAACTTGAAGCCATTGACACCCCCGTGAGGCCTCGCAATCGGTCTCTTGTTGTCCATCGTAACCCTTCAAAAGTTTTCGTACCAATCGTTTTCCAGCGTGCAGCGTAAGGCAAGAATCACCATTGACTCGCCTCTGCAGCTGCCATAGCCCCTCTCAGCCGGGCATAATACGCGGGCTGCACCTGGGCCTGATAATGGTGCCTACTGAGATCCTCTACTTCCCAGCTCAAGGCCCTGAGGCTGTCTTCCTGGCTGCCTGCACGACCCTTCAGACAGTATCTGTCGGTGCTAATCCATTCTTTGTGCGGATGTCACCGTCGTCGCCATCTGTGTTGCCGTCCTCTCGACGTGAGGCTGTGTCAAGCGAGTGGGTTGTCTTCGCCACCTCGCATGATAACGATAGATATGGTATCATCGGAGGCATAGCAAACCGCGCCACGTATCGGGAGAGTTTGAAGCGGTCGCTGGCGTAAGTCCTGACGCCCGGGAGGGCGTTTCGGCTCGTTCAGAAAAAAATTGTCAGTGTTACAACGTGTGTGCCTTCTACTGGAAAGGGCGATGGAAACATCAGCCGAGCTCACTGGTCCGTTCGCCAGGGCCCTAACAGTAAGGGAGACGGAGCGGTTGCATAGGTTTTCATCGGTGAACGTAACAACGACATGCATTCATGAACTTCGACAGGCGGGGAGGGGAGGTAAACGCCTCACCGCACGGAAGCTGGATGATTCGACGCCTGAGATCGACTGCGACAGATATTTCACATGGTGTTTCGACACAAACATGAATGAAATGCGGGTGACAAGTTTGTCGGTCAGTGCTGAAGCACATTGTAGGCTTTCAGAACCTGTTTGAGCATAGGACGCGTTTGGCTGCCCTGAGCAGATGTTGGAATATCGCCGAGGACTTTTTCTGAGGTGCGACGCGATGCGTAAACTTGAATACTTATTAAATGAAGGAACTCTTATCCGAAGGTCTGCTATAAGCAACCCCACCGCCATACTTGTGCATGACACCATCCGAGATATATTTGCAACCAGGAGGCAAATGCGCGAAAGTTGTAAAGTTGTATCAGCAACGGAAAGCAAGTGTGCAAATGTGCAACGACCTTCTGTTTGACTCAACTTGATATTTTTATGTCAATAGAAGACGGCTTATGTCCGACTCAACTGTAGGTCAATCATCAAGTGATCAGTCGGTTTCACTATGTGTTCGCTTAGTCATGTATCCAATCACACGTCCTTTACTGTGGATGGAACTATTGTTCGGACAATCGTCCGCGGCTGGTGTTGGTTTGCACACCACGCTTCGGTCAGTTAACTCTGGA